TAAGTCACATTTATCATCACAAATGTCTAATAAGTTACATATATGCAATTAACAATTGTTCATGATTACATAACAGTATAAAACATACTGTTCTCTAAAGGGTTAGTGGATCAAGATTAAGCACAGTCAGTGAAGCGTGGTAAACCTTGAACAAGAATTAATTACACACGAGGTGCAGTGTAATTAAAACTCACTCATATGATGTTATAGACGTAAATCATATATTTTTAACAACTATACTTCTATAATGAATGAGTATGGAATATTGTACCTATTTGCGATAACCGTATACGCTGGTGGGCCACTAGTGAAGGTTGATAGGATTTTTTTATGGATGACATTGGAATGATGTAAACTCCTGCAACGATTTACGCTGGCGGGGCATCTGTGGCGGATGATAAAATAAGCATGAAGTTAGGTCAGTTAGTGCATCTTATCATATGACAATTTATCATGATGGTTTTCAGAGGGAACCGTGCAGAGGTCAACCTAACATTGCTAGCAGTGGGGTTATTAGTCTACATTACTAACAATCCCTTTCCCACCGGCTAATAGGATTATTAAATAGAATAATTTCAGGTCAGTTAACCTATCGAGGGGATTTCACAAAACTGAAAATATGCAAGATTTTACACTGAACATTCGAGAATTAGAGATGCTAGTAAATAAAACTGAATTGAGTATAGTCTCTGAAATTACTAACAAATATTAGTGTACCAAGCGAGCCGGAACACACGAATGTTCATATTACTATATTTATTAGCATGAAGTCCAATGACATATGGCATTGAATTTTAAGGTTCTTTTGTATATTGGACCATTTTTAATACCGCTATTTTTCAGAAACTAATAATTTATGATATCAATTTGCAATAGTTTTATAATTTAGTTACTGTTGATTGTAAATGTATAAGGGAAGTGAAAATTTACAAAAATAGTTTAGCTACTATTTACCTATATCTAAATAAGCTTTATGAAATAAGTATAGGTAACTAAGTCTCTACTTCCTATCTACAGGAACTCTGGTCTACTTGTATGAAAAACCATTCAGTTAGGTTGATTTGATTGTGCTAGAAGATATTAATTTTAATGTAATTACAGTGTTTAACTTTGGAACCTTACATATTTACTTTTTTATTAAAAATTTTATGTACAAATACACCAATAAAGGAGTACTTGAGTGCATTAAACACCTTGAAGCATTTTCTCCTAGTCAACCATAGGGCAAAAAAAAATTAATGTGGACGGTGCTTTTTCAAAATTAACTATGTTAAAAAGGCTATATATTTGTTAATTAGTGTAATTGGCGGAAATGTTATCTATCGTGACATATCGATTTAAACATTAGCCTCGTTCGATTATGTTCAAACCGTTCAAATTTAGTGTTGCATCGAAGCTATAGTATATCGATTCAAACCCTTCAATTATTTTTAATGGGCATAATTTGCTTCAGCTTTCAGTAAAATGAACGACACTCGCCCGTAATATCTAATTTCCACTTGATGTGGCAGTTAAGTTCCATCAACCTTTAAATAATCAGTTTCCATTTGAAACTAGCAGTTCGACCCGGTTTCAAACGGGCATAATAATAAAATAAGACCAATTAACTAAAACAATTTAATTTTCTTTGTAACAAATTGTGAATCAACATTATCTGTAACATGTAGACATAACAACTAAAAGAATGTAAGTAACTGACCACCTGAACTTCACTATTTCATCTAGATTCTTTTATTTTTATATATATGGAGATTTTTAACCCAATTTGTAAACAATCTCCTATGGTTTTTAAGGAGTTTATTTTAGAATACAAACCTGGCACTGTTTTTTTATGTTAATGGTAAACTAGCTTAGGTGCCACCTGATGGTAAATGACAACCATCGCTCTCATACATCAACAGCAGCACGATCATTACATCATAATGTGATGTCCATAGCACTCCTGATGCGCTGCCATTCTGATCGGCTACGATGTTACAGCTCTGTATTCCCACTCCCACATCTCACGCTCCAAAAGAAACTAGGTGATACGTAGTAACCTATGCAGACGACTTGATACAAAGTCTACCTCTAATAAAGTAATAATTAGCCAAATGGGTACAGATACAGAACTATTTTTTTTATTGTAATAATTTACCCATAAAGGCTGTCCACCTCTGAGTTGTAGACCGTTTAGTTTCAATTAATACCTCTTATTATATTATCTGTTTTTATAGCAAAAATTGTACCAGATTATTATATGATACAAATAAAGATTATTATTATTATTACAATTATATGATCTGTGGATTCAGTTATTCAGAGGTAATAATAGCAATATATTATTTTAATGGTATATCTTGACAATGAAATATAGACTTCATTATCATTAATTTAATAATCAACCAAAATAGCCACTTATTCAGAATATCTACAAACAATTATATATCTTATTTGCACTGCATACAAACAGTGAGCGTAGCCAAATTTACAGAGGCCGGTAATTCTGTAAACCGTTTCATTTACGACTAACAAAAGCAATTATATATTTATTATTAGTAGCCTTTATTTATGTTTCTAATAAAAGCAACGTTTTATGGGAGGTCCCTAGTTTTGTTATTATTTAACTGTGGTTGCATGGATTATTGGTAGAGCCGACCAACTAGGTATGTGTGTATTTGTTCAAGATTTGATTCTTATAAAATATATCTTTACCTACGTCAAAAACGTAACAAATACACAGAGACACTCTTTCGCATTCATAATATTAAATAGTAAATCAATATATGTATTCACATGTAGGCTTCTTTTACATATATGAACTCTTTTAATTTACGACCTTATTTATAGATACCTACATCTCAAGACTTCAAGTCTTTCTTGGGAAAATATATATTCAACTGCATAAAGTCACATTGAAATTTTGATGAGTGTATTCAAATAACACTCATGTCGCATTCCCGTAGATGCATCAATGCATGATCCATCTACGTCTATAGATGTCAGGAATAGGCAAGCTAGATGTAAGGAATTGTAGAAAATCGAAGATTAAATTACTACCGTTCGCAGTTTATGGCGCATGACCGTCAATAATCACACGTGAGTACTGAATCTAAAGAGATTTCTAAACATTAATTGAAAACGGTGCAGCGGTTGTTTACTTTCTGATGGTCGCTGGTTCGATCCTCACAAAATTAAAATAGTATATATTTGCCTGTCCCGACTTCGAACGGATGTATATGTATTATACACATAGACCTTCTTCTTAAATTACTTTATCAGATACGATTGCTGAAATCGGCATTAAAATTCGTTGAGTAGTCCAAACGAACTAACCGTGCAGACAGTGTGAGTGACTTTGTTTTATACTATTAGGGTAATTAACTGAGACTTAGTGCTAAATTAAATAATGTGTTTAATTTAGCACTCAGTCAGACGAGACTAGGATGTTTAAAACAAGAGAATGTAATACGTGCTAAGTTCAAACATACTATATAACACAGGAATATAGTATGTTTGAACTTAGCACGTATTATTTAATGATAAATAATGTTAAACATTTTATTATTATATACCATTAAATTATACATACATACACTATTTATTCTAGACATATGTACTAATATAGGCTATTAAGACAAGGCAGTGATATGTATAAAAATGACCATAGACAATTTGACATATGACTATAGATGTACGTATAGACCTAATAAATAGTAATTGACTTACAAACTGTCTATGATAATTTTTATACAAATATCTATTATCCCTGACAACATAACAAACATAGGAACAGTTTTGCCTAGTTATAGCTATCCATACATACTACGATTGCAATTATTATTCAAATAAACGACAAATCTTAGTAACAAGTGAATTTATTGTTATTTTTAAAATATGATAGTCCGTTTTTGAAACAATTTATCTTAGCATGTATTACATATTAGTGTATTTAAAAAAAAAGCAATATAGCTTATTTATTTATTTTTGCACCAAAATTGTATAAATGGCGAAATTAATGGTGGCACTATCTACCTCTCTCTCGATATGTTTTAAAAAAATATATTTCGTGATGTAATCTAATCATTCTTCATGTTAAATTTCATTAAGATATCTTCAGACGTTATGTCGTGAAACGGTAACAAACAAATAAGTCACAAATACAATCGTTACGAATATAATCGTTTTCGAAAATATAATATTAGTTACTATAAATAATAATTTTCTATGTAGGTACCCATCTACGAGTCGATCGTAGCGATTTGTCGTAGCACGTTTTAGTCGTAGCGTGTGTAGTCGGCAGTGACAAGTGGAGTTATCCGCAATTAATTATAATGTGTGTAATCAGTAGGAAGTCAATGGCTGCAGATGATGGCACTTAGTAGTAATCTACTCGTATTGTGGGAGGAGTGGAATGAATGCATGAAAATATGATGATAATGATAATGAGGGTCTCTTCGTGACTGAAAATTACTTAAATACTTATTTTTGTAACAAAACTAAATGATGACCTTGGTAATCCAGTGGTTTGGCATATCGAATTACTTCACATGGTCGAGGATTCGAGTCTCGTATAATACAAACATTTGTGAACATCTTTGATTTGGTCTGGGTATTTACAATGGGAAAAATGTATTTAACTACCAGTTGTATAGTACTCATAGTGCTCTACTTAGTTTGAGGTTAAATAGTGCTGTAGGTATGAATTATTTTATATTATTATTATTTTTCAATATTTCCAAGTTTTCTGTTTGATAGAATAAAATTATTTTAGTTGGCCTTTACGTTATGGCATCCAAACGTAAAACTACTAGCTGGGAAGATAACAGTAGTATGCTATTTTCCATTAACCCACACCGTAAAGCATGTACATAATTACCGCCACACATACCTACCTACACACTAATTTTAATTTTTAATTTTACGTACAGTTATGGAATTTTATTAATCTCAATACGATGATTTATTTTTAAACATAGTTATTTATGTGTACTTATTTTAAGTGTATTAAATATACTTACCTCTTTCAATTATACTATATAATTAGAAAAACACTATCACAACGTCACAGCACATACGCAACACAATATTGGCATATTAATTTTGTATCGTGAGCTTAAAAAAATCGGATATAAATTTATCGCCGTAAAGATTTCCCGCGCATTACATGAAACGCGCGTTTCCGCCGGCATTCGATTTTCAAATAATCCATTCAAGATGGCCGCGTATGATAGCATAATGTACTAGTGCTGCAACTACTATTTTATCGACATTTCCTTCACCCCTTTTCAAAGGAAATTACCACCTGTCAGTTATATGTTAATTTACTGCAAGGAATTTTAGAATACATTAAAACTTAATTCATTATTTATTTCCTATGCCTTTTAATTATAATATACATGTATTTTTGTTATAAAGTAGATATTATTATCATAACCATATTGAAATCCCCGTACCTAACGAGGATTTTATTATGGTTTCCGCCTAATTCTATAGTAAAGAAAAAATAAGTACATAAATACTACCATACTATCACTGAATACATAATAATGATAGTATCTACGTACGGTAGCCTTTGTTTATTCTTTTAATTCAGTTGGCGGCAACCTTGACTATATACGGAAATAAAATTTAATACAATTCCATTAAATTACATATAACAAAATGTTTTTAATTTTGTATAGAGCAAGTATAAATAAATATTTTAATGCTTCCAAGATTATCGTCTCTTACTAAATCGGCCTAAAAACTCTTGAGATCTAAGTGCTCTCTAACCGAATGCGCTTATAAGTAAAATTTACATATATATACTTATTAATTCCCATTTATCAACTTATTATGTATTATATGAAAATTATGATGAACTAACATAGGTATTTGGCACAAATACGCTGCTCTTACAGAGATGTAAGGATGACGATGAAGGATCAGTTATCACCAAAATCTTTACGAATGAAATATATTGGTTTTTGAGGAGCCTCCATCTAATACATTGTTAGATATACGGCCTTTATTCCTCACTACTAAAAATAGCACCTCCTTCCTTCCACCTTAAAGAGTTCTTTATAACTGACCCCTAACCTATTTATCGATATCGACAGTTTGACTACAAATGTCTTCATGGACACCATGTAATTTGGTGACACAGAGTTATCCCTATATACAAGCGTATATTTGCTTTGACCAACACTGTCCAGTACTCAGACACGAAAATAGATTTTTATAATATTGACACGGAAAGCAGACATGCTTTCATTAGAGGCACAGAGCAATTTACCATAATCAAGTCTCATTTATAATAAAATAATCTACTTCCGAGTATATCGATAGGACACGATACATTATAGCAAATAGAACACTAAAATATAAGTATAAAAACATGCCCAAACAGTAGAAAAAAATTTTTTTTTTATGACGCAGGAGACAAACAATCATGCGGCTCACCTGATGGTAAGTCACCAGCGAAATTGCAAGTACGTTGTCGGCCTTTTAAAAAGGAATAAGCTCTTTTCTTGAAGGTTTCAATATCGTATCGGTTCGGAAATACCATTGCTGGAAGGTGATTCCACAATGTGGTTGTGCGTGGCAAAAAGTTTCTAGAAAACCGCACTGTGGAGGACCGCCATTCATCCAGATGAGCAGGATGGTATTTTAGTTTCTGGCGGGTGGTACGTGGTGAAACTCAGCAGCTGGTATTAATCCGAACAATTCCTCAGAACACTCCCCGTGATATATGCGGTAGAAAATGCACAGAGATGCAATATCTCGCCGCAAAGCCAATGGGTCGAGTCTGTCACATAGACGTTGATTACCAATTATTCTGGCTGCTCGGTTCTGAATGCGGTCAAATGGAAGTAGCTGGTATTGTGGTGCTCCCGCCCAGAGATGAGAACAGTCTTCCATGTGCAGCCGGATCTGCGCCTTGTATAATTGCAAGCGTTGGGCCGCTGTGAAATACCGTCTCACTCTACTGAGCACACCAAGCTTTTTTGAGGCTATTTTAGCCTTGTCCTCCAAATGACCGCAAAACTGAACGTCACTGGATATTTCAACGACAAGGACCTCGAGATTTGGCTTCACATCAAGGAGAGTATCTTGAAACTGAGGAGATACGATAAATTGATTTTTTTTAGCGGTAAACGCGCATGTATAAAAAGATATAGAACTAAAAATATCAGATGGTTGACTGTGACTATGAGATGGTGAATAAACAGACAGATCGACAGACGCACTTACTCCATTTATAATATTAGTATGGATTATCTTCCTTAATTTTTGTACCACATTCATAAATTATTTATTTCATGAATTAATCGTTGCAACTGGTAGAGTCGCATAGACTGTAATTCTCTACCAGTAGAAGAAAATATATTACAAATATCTTACTGTCTGTCGCTCTGTCTGTCTGTTTGATACTATTATACGAATAAACGGGTAAATGAAATTTGATATGCGAATATCCTGACGGATATCGACTAACTTTAATCTCTGAAATAAATAATCAACACAAAATAATCTCTAATTAGAATTTTATAAATTCAGTTCAATGGTACTAAGTAAATAATATATCGTCGCGATTTTTATCCCATTCAGAGACATTATCAATTACCATTGGACCGTAAACCTAAGTTCAGATTCACTGACAGTTTTATATATTCCATTATCCATTTAACATAGAAGTGTTCTTTTTGACTATTATTTTTATATCCATTTCTATGATAGCACTCTACCATAGTAAACGTTTTTGTACCATTATTACTATATGTACTATATACCTACTGGATATACCCACATTTCTTTAGGTATATCTGAATCCAAAGTCTACCGCCGCGCCATTTCTCGTATTAATGTCAATGTTTCCGTTACCGGAGAATTAGTCAGAAATATAACTTGATACAAAGTTTTTGATATCGACTAAATTTCATCTCAAGACCTTTGATTTTTAGTCAGGATACAAACCTACTAGGTCAAGACTCTCTCACATGACAATTGGTCGTTTCCAAACTTGTTCTCTATATATCTATAATACCTACATATTGAAGTATATATATATATATTGGTAGTCATTAGAAATTAAATGTGATCTATTATGCTGACGAAACTACACAAAGAAGTACCAAATTAAAAAGTATTTTTATTTACAAATGTCAAATTCGTTACCATCAATAACTGGAGCGAAAATAACCAACCATCTAAATGATGCACGACATATCATGACGTTGCAATGACGTCATATCATATGATGAGGTCGTAGCCGGTACGATGGATTAATTAACAATTCAACTTGAATTTTGTTAGAAAGTTGTATGGAGAAATTGTCTTTATTTAGTTTATAGCATAAGGGGCAAATAAGCTTGCGACGCACATAATGGTAAGTGAACACCGCCGGTTAACAGCACCCGTAACCCTAGGGAAATTGCAGGTGAGTTATCGGCCTTCTAAGGAGGCTTACACTCTTTTCTCGAAGGTTCTACTCAAAAATACCATTGCGGGCTGTTGCTCGTTCATTGTAAGATGGTGATGGTGTAACACTACCAATTTTGGCATAAATGACTGTAGAATTTTTAAAATTTATGAAGTTTTTGTTATAAAATGCATTGCATGCATGCATCCATACATATACAGAAATATTAAAATTATTACTCGTTTTTTTTTTGTAGACAACCTCATATAATTTTTATAATTGTCACCCGATAGCATAAATACACAAATTACTATATATAGAAACTTAAAATTGAGGCGAGAGAATGACGAAATTTAAAAGGTTAGAGAACTAACCTCGTTGATGTGTTTGATGAGAGTTTAATGTTTGAATTGATAGATTTCGAATATATCGAAGTGAAGAGAAACGCCATCTGTCTCTGTTTATTTTTTCGTCAGTTCGGGCCATAACTACTTTGAAAACATTGGCTAGAAATAATATAGGTAGGTACATCTGTCTAAACAGCTATATTAAAAGGTTTCCATATATTTGTCTCATAGCAATGACGTCTTGTACATTCGAAACTGTTGATACAATTTTAACTAGAACAGTTTTACTGAATTTTTAATGGACTTTGTGTCAACGTCTGCCTCATATGTCACACATTTTTGAGTCACCAAGCAGCGTGCCTTGTAAACTGTTTCGGTTGAAGGGTGAGATATGACAGGGAAATTACAGAGTACGAAAGCACGCCACAGTAGGTCGCCGGTAATGGCGGTCATTGGTGCTACTGTTACGTATATAGACGATAGTTTCCACTCAACATCAGGTGTATCTTAGGTTTGTGCCCCAAGCCATTCTTAGCATAGTAACAGTCGCTAACGTTATGATCTTAACTACTGCTTTGCTACGGTTTCCCCATTATTTATTTATCATCAGAAGATGAAGGATCATCATCTGATGATAAAGACGGAAGATAAAAGACAGTTTATTGATATCAAGGAATATAATACTCTGATTGAGACTATTCTAGTGACAGTAAACATCACTCATACATATTTTTTCTGTCGTTTTGAATTAATTTTTATTTACATTAATTAATGAAGCGAACTAATTACTACATATAATATAAGATTTACTACTAAATCAAATTTAATGATTTTAAAATATAAAAAAATATTTTTTAAATCAGTTAATAACTGACGGAGTCCTAGTGTAACAAAAGAATAAAACGAACTGGTAACCTTCGATTAATTTTAAAGTCGATTAAAACTGAAATAATAATTTTCATACTGTTTTACTTTTTAGAATAAGGAGTGAAATCTTTTTTATATCTGTTAGCAGTAATTCCACTTGTATGTTGCATTAATATTAAAAATTAAGAAGTATAGGTACCAGCAATGACGTAGGCAAGCAAGCCGCTATGTCTCCATAATTTATATCGATGCCGTGCTGAGAATTCCAACAGTTGTATTAATAACCTGTAATACTAAATTTAAACACACGCACACGAAATATCTATTAATATACGTAGGTATGATCAAGGTGCTAATTAATAACTGCATTTCAAATTCATCGAATATTTTCAATGCCTAATGCCTGACTGTGTATATCTAGTATTTAGTTGCATAACCAGAGAGTCGTGGTTTGTTTATTTTTAATGTACTAGGAATGTAAAATAATTGACGGCCCACCTGATGGTAAGCGATAACCATCACTAGGGGATTGTTTTTTTTTTTTATGGATGATAATGGAATGGT